AGGAGGGCATCCACGAGTCGAAGCTTGAGCGCGGAGTGCATCGAGACTACCATCATGGGGAGCTGAAGATGGTTTTCAGTGTCACGTGGAGGGCTTCTTGATGGCCCGAAGGATCGGCGGTCCAGAGCGGACTCGCACCTGCAGGAAGATGCACAGATCCCTGCACCCCGATCGGCGCAGCAAGGAGTTCTAGTACTGTAGCGTGCAAGTCAATGTCGGCGAGAGGTGAATTTGTATCTCGTGGCAAGGGCGCATAGTCCGTGGAGCACTCGCCGCTGCGCGCGGAGCGCCAGGAGGGCCCCGACGAGTCTGCGACCGAGGAGAAGACCAGCGGTTTTTGCAATGGCTTGCACGCCGTGGCCGGACAGTGCCTTCGAGCAGAAAAGTTTGGCCCGGCGCGCCCTGGGCCTTTTGGCCCGAGGCTCGCGACCATGTCGGCGCAGGCAGGCTTGTGGACTACGTCGAGAGCAGACCATCGAGCACGATATCTATTTTCCGAGAGGCGTCGTGGATACCAAGAAGGCCATCGCCCCCGCTCGCGGGGTCTCCTCGTCTGCGAACGCGCCTGGCGAGATGTGCCGAGAGGGTGTAGTGCTACGCCTTGCGGCCAATCCGCTGAGGGATGTCATCGAGGGGAATTTCGCCCTGCAGACCCGTCTGGCGCGTGCCAGCTTCCGGGCGAAGCCCGTCGCGAGGACGACGCCGGCGGCCGAGGCTTGCAGCGTCGTCGAGGAAGTGCGGCGCGGCCAGTTCCACAGCATTTTCTGCGCGAGCTCCGCTCTCGGGGAGATTCTGCACGTGGCTGCAGGTAGCGACAACCTGGCGGTCATTGTCAACAAGGACAGCGGCAGCGCGGCGGCCAGGAGACTACGCGTCGCGGTCTCGACGTTTCGCGGGGGCGTGCAAATCGAGGAGTAGTTGGAGGCGATGGTTGCGGACGGCCGAACAAAGGCACGCACGTGCTTGGCAATTCCTTGCTCGCGTTCTCTGCCTCCAAGAAGTTCGCCCTCCCGCCGCAGAGAATGCGCCAGATAACCTAGCAGACGGCTGCTCTGATCGCGGTGCCAGTTGCAGCGTTAAGTCCTAGAGCCGCGGGGACATCGAGCACCGCGACGTCGCCGCGTTTGGAATTCGTCGACAACCAGAGCACCGAAGAGTGCCAGACTGGGGGCATCGGTGACGTTGGCGACGAGAATCTCGGCCATGGCATCCTGCGCTGTCGTCTGCCGCGGGGGCGATGTAGGCCGCGGGCGACGACGACGGCGCGAGGATCGAGAACGCCCTGCTTGGAACGTTGGCGTTCCCACTTGGAGCCATGCGCCTGCTCTCGCGTCAGATGAGAGGCCCCAGCGCTGCGTGAGCGGGGTATATCGAGATCGCGGGCGCGAGCGCGGGCGCCGCGCAGTGCCGACATGTCCTGCGCGAGGGCCACCCCGCAGAAGACCTGCGCCCCGAGTCGACAGGCCTACGCCCCGAGCATCAGCCCCCCCCGATGGAGACTGATAGCGGCGAGGCTCGTTTCTGCGATGAGCCGCCCGAGCAGCCCGGGAAGCATAATTTCACCGAGTGCATGGAAGTACCTCCCACTGCGAGACCAAGGGCGCGGGGGGAAATACTTGGGCCAGAGAAGGTGCCGGGCGACTTCGCCCCCGCATCAATCGAGGAGACGCTGGAGAAGGGAAGTCTGGAGTCAAACCCCCGTTGGGATCGCGATCGCGGACGGGATCTTCCGCCGCGACACCGCTGGCGGCGCGCAGATCGGCCGGCAAGAAGCACTTGATACGGCAGCCAGGATGCGCCTATTCATGTGGCCCCGACTCAGCATCGTCAGTCAAGCTCCAGCGACGTGGCATTGACTGCCCGTGCAAGGGGGCCGTCAGTGCCGCGGCGACCGCGAGCGTGTCGACTTGATGCAGCCAGACATCCATAGTCTAATATCCATATGCCTGTTCTCGTTGGCTTCGAGCCGTCTGGGAACAAGGTTGCTCTGCGCGCCGCGCGGGGTCGGACCGACCAGCGCGGCCTTCTCGCTGACAGGAAGAGGAGATGGGAGAGCCCCCGCCACGTAAAGTTGCGCTGCGTCTTCGAGGGGCCTCGCCTGGCCCCCAAGTGCGCGTCTTTCTTTTTCTTTCGCCCGGCGCGGGCTCGATGCGGGCTCGATGCGAATCCGGCGTGGATTCGACGCGGATTCGCATCGGACTCGCGACGCGGACTCGACGCGGATAGGGCCGCGACGGGACAGCCAAGGTCCCCCGAGGATGCAACAGAAGCAGAGCGTTCCTGCCACCTCGTTCCCCCCTTCCCCGCCTTGCCCGGCCTCCTTCGCTGCCCTTTTGGCTCCGCCCGTTCGTTTTGCGGCCCCGCCCCTCCGCGAGGGGCGGGGCCCCCTCCAGCGCTGCCAGCGCGAGCGCGCTCCCGCCTGGCGCTGCGGGTTGGACAGAGAAGGCGCCCGCGTCGACGCATTCGATTGCGTTCGAGATATTCTTCCCGCTGGCGCGGCTCCGCCATGAGGCAGAAGGGGGGGGGGGAGAACGGGGGAAGGTGAACAGAAAGGGAGGGCCTGCGGATGAGCAGCGAGGGGGGGGGCTGGAATGTGGGGGGGGAGGGCGGGCTGCGTATGAGACGGGGCGAAAGGCGGGAAAAGGGAGGGGGAAACGGGGGGCAAAGGAGGGAAAAGGGAGGCCCCGTCTCGCGGAGACGTGACTGCCGCTGGTGGCCCCTGTGGGCCTCCGTGTGACCGGCGAGTCGAATTTCTCCCTGGACTTGTTCACCCCCTCCCGTCATTGCGCAAGTTGTTTCACGTTCGGCACGTTATCAGTAACCACTTGCATACAGCGAATTATTACAGTCGGACCGATGTATAGCATCGAGGTCGGCTCGGGGAGGGTACCCTGGTATTCTTCGTGTTTGTTAGATGTTCCTGTGCACCCTGAGCAGGGTACCTTTGGATGTTGTGTTTGTTCTGGCCGGCAGCGGGTCTCGTGTTTTTGATGGCTGGTGTTTCTTCTGTCCCAGGTCCGGCTGCACGATGCACCCGCGCCTATACACATTACACCAGAGAAAAACCCAAATCACTGGATGGTTTTCGTTGAGGAGATCGACTGGGAACCCAGGAGCCAGGGAACCCAGAACCCACCGAAATCGGCCTGGAACCAAGAGCGGGGAATCAGGGAACCCGGTAACCTAGCCTGCCACCAAAATCGGTGGGAAACGTTCGCCGAGTCTTCAAACTTCCGCCAGGACCCCTTCAATGCAAGCATTGATTTGGGAACATCACACTATCGAGCGATGCGCGGCGGTGGCCTTGCCGGCGGTGCCCCGGGGGGCCGGCGGCAGGGGGCGGGGGTTGCCCCAAAGAGGCTGACCGTGGAGCCCCTGGCGTACAAGGGGTGCCGCGAGATGTCGCTCGATCTGGAGGAGCTCTCGCAGCGCCGCCCGCGGCCGTGGAGGGTTTCGCTAACACGCGACAGTCTCTTTCCGAGGTGGGAATTTATCCATAACCACCGCCTGGGGGGTTGATTTTCGCGGACCTTCACAGGAGGTGGATATGGATCTTTTCGGGCCCCCTGGGGCCAACATATATCCATATCCGCCGCCCGCCGGGGCACCAGGACGTCGGGTTCCCAGGCGGTGGATATGGATAAATTCCCGCCTCGCACTCTTGGCATCGCTCGGACATGTGCACTGTTCTCGGCGAGGACCCTCGAGAAGCCTTTTGGGGGTCACTTTGCAGAAAGATACGCGCACGAAGCCGAAGAAATGCACGGGGAAGGGACGTCCGAGCGATGGCGAGTTCTCCCCCAATCCCTGAATCACGCCGAACAGTTTGTCCGCTCATGTGGCTATCCAGACGCCCCCCCATATCGAGGACGGGCGCCTTCCATCGTACATCCCAGAGTTGTGCTCAAGATTATTGGTTAAGTCGAGAATGTTTCAAAGTCGGTGATTGGGGTCGCCGTGCGCCTCGTCACTCGTCGGTTCCTGTTTTCTTGGCCATGTTGGCTCAAGCCTTTCTTGGGTCAAAGCCGTGTCCCAGAACTCTTTGCGTTGTTCGACCGTTGTCTGATCCTCTTGCGGCCGTTGACTCAACCCAGGGCCAGAGCTCCCTGGGTCGCGCCGCGCGCCAGAACGCCGCGCGTCACCCTACCTTTTGGGCACGACCGTGGATGTAAGAAGTAAGCGTGAAACTCAATTCTTAACATTGGAGCCCGCCGCTCAGAGAGGTGGAGCACGACCCAAGGTTGAACAAGTCCTTCAGATGTTCGCGCCGCTTGCGTTTATGGATGTATAAAAACGTTCAGGGGCAGCTGCCGATCCTTCCCAGACGGGAACTCGCGGCCTTTGAGTGGCGGCCTCCAGGTTATGAATTTGGGTTCGCGCTGATTTGCTCCATCCACGGTTTTGGGGCGGCATTCGAGGCATAACTACTGGGCCATCCTTGCGGCCTTTGTGGCTTGCCTGGGCCACTTTGGGGATCCGTCTTGGGCATGCTGGAGGCCCCCGAAGGGCACATAGGCGCCTGGCCGCCCAGGGAGCCTCGGGGAAGGGTCCTGCTCGTCCTCCTCGTCCCCCTCGTCCGCCTCGTCCTCCTTGTCCTCCTCGTCCTCCTTGTCCCCCTCGTCCCCCTCGTCCCCCTCGTCCCCCTCGTCCTCCTCGTCCTCCTCGTCCTCCTCGTCCTTGTGACAAGAGGGGGTCGTAACAGACTTGCAGAGACCCAGTCAGACAACACTGTGTATTTTACCACCGCAGGGGGGGTGGGGGGCACGGCGGCATATCGTTCGAGTAAAGCAGTAGCGGCAGTGGTTGCAGTAGATTTTGTTGCATCATTGGTGTTCGTTGCACTCTTACGATTTTGATTAGCGTGGTTTAGGCGCCAGTGCGAATATTGGTGCATACAGCGTGACAGGGAAGCACGCCAGCGCGACTGGCAGTGAAGAGAACGGTTGCGACATGGAAGGCGGATCGTCGTCGTCGTCGGTCTCTCCCTAGCCCGTCTCGACATCCTACCCAGCTTTTACGCCCCTCCTCTCCGCCATGTTCCATGCGTCCCGCAAACACAGCACCCACATATCTTGAGGAGTGGCGAAAGGACCCGTTGCCGAGGTATTACCCTGTGGTTCGTATGGTATCGTCGCTATCCCTTTCCACGGGGCCAACAATCGTGTCAGCATATGTTTCAGGAGGGAAAAAACACAGGCACAATCAATCGTCGACTCCCAGGAAAATATGGGAACACAGGGGAAGTGGGGGGGAGACAAAAACACAGAACATATGGAAACATATGGGAAATCCTTGGATTTGTATGTGTTTTTTTCAGTGTGTCCTTGGGGCCCCTTCAGTTGACAAGTGGATTGGTATCGAATGGCCTTCGGCCCATCCCGCCACTTTGCCTGGGTTGTGTGTCAGGGTTCTCAGGGATGCGTCTTTGGGTCTCGTCGGAGCGCTCTCGGGGGCCTGTTCGGGGCAGTTTGGGATCCTCGAGGGGACCTCTTGGGGGCCTCGAAGGGCTTTCTGGTGTCCTCTTGGGCATGTCTTGGGAGCCTCTTCGGGGCATCTTGGGGGAGTCTTCGGGGCCTCTTGAGGAACTCTTGGGTCAGGAGGGGAAAAAACACAGACACAATTAATCGTCGATTCCCCAGAAAATATAGGAACATATGGGAATTGGGCGGGAAGACAAAAAACTCAGAAAATATTGGAAAATATGGAGCATATTTTTAGTTGTGTGTATTTATTTGTGTGTCCCAGGGCCCCTTCATTGGGGCCTCTTGGAGGGCTCAAAATGTTTGCTCGGGTCCTCCATCTGGGCCCCCTCTTCGAGCCGTCTTGGCAGCCTCTTGGGCCGTCTTGGGCGCCTCGTGGGCCGCCTCGAGGCCCTCGGGTCGTTTTGGGGGCCCTCTTGGATGCCTCTTGGGCTGTCTTGGAGCGATGCATTGGGCATTGTGGGCCGTCCTGGAGCGTCGGAAGCGTCGGAAAGTCGAACCGGCGAGAACGCAAACATCCTTCGAACACCAACGGGCTATCGATGATGTGTGCCTTTGGGGACCCTCTTGGGAGGCCTCTTCGAGGCCTTTGGGGGCATCTACAAGGGCGCCCTCGAGGGCGCGAAGTTATTCGCGCTTCGCGGTTCGGCTCCGATTCCTCCTCTTCCTCCTCTTCTCCCCTGGGAGGCGGCGCGAGAGCGCGAAGTTATTCGCACTTCGCGCAGCGCGAAGCGCGAAGTTGGGAGTCCTTGCTGGGTCCGAAAAAGTCGCGCGGCAAGCCGCGACACGCCCAAGAAGTGTTGGTAGTTGTTGACGTTTCGCGTATCCCCTCCAGCCGATCCAGAAACGAGGCACATGAGAGTTGGGGTGACCAGGGGCGTGTAGGAGCAATATGGGGAGCAGCCGTGGCCTGTCGAAGGGGGAGGAGGATGGAGGCATGCATGGAGGAGGCGCAGGAGATAGACGGGGAAGGAATAGGCATGTGAGTAATTCGCAGGAGGGGCAGGAAGAGGAGGAGGAGGAGGAGGAGGAGGAGGAGGAGGAGGAGGAGGAGGAGGAGGAGGAGGAGGAGCAGAAGGCCAGAGGCCTCTCGGATGCCCGAAGGCTTCCTTGGAGGCCTCTTAGGCCGCCTTGGGTGCCTCTTGGCGGTCTCGGGGGCCCCTTGGAGCATCTAGGGTGCCGTTGAGGGGTGCCTCTTGAGGCTTCTTGGGGCCGTTTAGGCATCTCTTGGGGGCCTCTTGGAAGTCTCTTGGGGCTCTTCTGGGAGCCCTGGAGGCCCTCTTTAGGCCATCTTGTAGGACATCGACCACAGACGGGGGGTCTGTACTTCGCGGCCTTCCTCTAGGGCCTCTAAAATCGCCTCTTTGGGCCCTCTTGGGCTTCTCTTGATGCCCTCTTGAACCATCTTGGAACCATCTTGAGGCTTCGGACGGCCATCGGAAGCGAACCGGCGAGAAAGCAACAACCATTGATTCCCTTAGGCTTGGAACGGATTTTGGAATCTTGGGGACTCTTTGGGGGGTGCTCCTAGGCCACTTGGAGCAGTCTTGAGGCGGTCTTGGAGCCTCTAAGGGCATCTTGGAAACCATCTTGAGCAATATTGAGCCATCTTGAGCCGTCTTGGAGGCCATCTTGGGCTCTCTGGGGCCCTCTTGGAGTAATCGTGGGCCATCCCATCTGGGACGCTCCAATCGTTCGCGGGGCGCCCCGTCCAGGTCCAGGAGGAGGGGGTAGGGGGAGGTGTCAAGACACCCCCTAGGTAGCAAACCGTCTAGCTCACTCCCACCCGCCCTCCCAACACATTAACACCCGAGCCTCAGCATGTTCAGCGGTCGTTTTTGGATAGACAGCTACTGGGAACCAAAATCGACCCCATGTGCGCGACGCTGGGGCGAGGTGCGCCACGCGTGCCAGGCGCGCCACGCGCGTCGGGCACCCCTGGGGCCCGAGCTCGCCAGGCACGCCTGGTGCGTCAAATGCGCCACGTGCTCCGCGTGCGTCAGGTGTGCCGCGTACTCCGGCCGCGCCATTTGCGCCACGTTCGGGGCACGTGCAGAGTGTGTCAGGTGCGCCTGCGCACGTGACAGCACACATCGGGAAGCATGTCGGCCCCCACCATCCGTGTCGGACAGCAATGCCCGTCATTGTGTCTGGTGGGCCTACGCACAGCAGGCCATACGCCACCACCCCCGCCGTCCCTGTCAAAACCACTTGACAGTGATCGCGGGGTGACCGCGCTTGATCCGGATTTGGCCGCGAGGTGCATTTTGCATTGTTTTGTTTTTAGGGGTGGTAGCCCTGCGCGCAGCAGGCAATATGCTGACACCCCCGCCGTCCCTGTCAAAAAGAATACAAAGTGCTCGCGGGCCTCACGAACATTACTCAAGACTTTGCCCCAACGTGAGTTTTTTGACAGGGATGGTGGGGGGGGTGCATCGGGTTGGCCGCGCATGCTCCAAATGCGGAGGTAGAGTGCGTTTTGTATTTTTTGGGAGACTGTGGGGGGAAGCCCGCATGGTGTCCTCATGGTTCCTGGTTGGCTGCTGGTCGCCTGGGGGAGGGGGTGTATATTAATAGGAGGCAGTGATCAAGCTACCCACCCGCCCGCAAGCCGTCTTGCTCACTCCCCCCCGCGCTTCCAGCACATAAGTAGCACCCGGATGTCAGCATATCGCGTAAGAACGCCGCAGAAGCCACGAGTTCCAGATGCACCAGACCCTGGAGGCCCAAGCGTACCATGCGCGTCAGGTGCGGCACGTGCTCCACGTGCGTCCAGCTGCGCGAGGTGCACCAGCCACTGGGAACCACCAGGGGCTCCACCTGCTTGCGCCGCAACTGCTGCTGCGCCAGCAATTGCGCACGCCAAGGTGCTGCTTGTGACCATCTTGGGGCGCCGTGAGGCCCTCCTGGGGCAATTTTCGGGCACTCTTGGGGCCCTGGTGGGAGCCCTGGAGAGCCTCTGAGGGCCATCTTGGAGACAATCGGTCATCAGAAGGGGGGGAGTAACGGTCAGCCCCCCCTATCTTGGGCTAGCTCTCCCTTCAGGGGCCCTCCAAACTGACTCTTGATGCCCTCTTTGTACGCACTTGGGGCTGTCTTGGAGGCCTCGTGGGCCCGGCTTGGAGCTCCGTTGGGCCATCCTTCTTGGGGTCCTCGTGGGAGCTTTGGAGAGCCTCTGAGGGCCATCTTGGAGGCAATCGATCAACAGAAGGGGGGTTGACGTTCAGCTCCCCCGATCTGGGGCTAGCCCCCACTTCAGGGGCCCTCAGAACTGCCTCTTGAGGCACTCTTTGGGCCACCCTGGGGTGCTCTTGGGGCCGTCTTGCAGGCCTCGTGGGCTCGGCTTGGAGCTTTCTTGGGGCATTTTGGGGCCACTTGGAGGGCCCTCTGGGGCCCTCAAAAACCGCCTCCTGGGGCCCTCTGGGCGCCAACTTAGGGCGTTCTCGGGGCCAGTTTGGAACCCTCTTGGGCCCGGCTTGGAGCTTTCTTGGCCAAATCTTGTGCTATTTGGAGGCTTCCATCGTAAGTGAACAGGCGAGAAGGCAGCAGCCATTCATTTGTCAAAGCAGTCGGGCACCTACGCCCAGAAGGCAGGTGGGATCTGCTAGCACCCTGGCCGTCCCTGTAACATACCAGTACAAGTGGTCGCGGGGCGGCTGCGCATAATACTCCACATGTAGAGGCAGAGTGTGTTTTGTGTATTGTTTCTTGACAGGGATGGTTGGGGTGTGTGATCATGGGGTCGCCATTGTTCCAGGTTGGCTGCCGGCCGGGTGGGGGAGGGGGTTTATATCACTAGGGACCAGCGCTAAGCTATTCCCCGAAGAGGAAGAAGGGGGGGTTAAGGGGGAAACTCGCTAAGCCACTCACGCCCAGAGGACTGGTGGGATTTCTGGTCCGGGCCCCTTGAAGACTCATCGGGGTTGAGGATTGAGGCTTAAAGGATTAGGCCAAGGACCTGAAAGCACTTCAACTCGTGCCTCAGGGCACGGTGGAGGATCTCTGACTTGAGAACCGTGGCCGAATGTGATTATGTGTCTCTGAATACATCTGCGCGAGCTTGCGAAGGGTATACTCGAAAGTGTGCCGGTTATGCAGTTATGCCCGTCCGTTCCGGATGGGGCTGACCGCATGCCCCTGATAATAAAGCACCCCCTTCCGTTACCCATGAATCATGATCATCCATGGGGTATTTCTATTTGATCAGTGGGCGGAGCGGCGAGGCCGAACTTCATTACCACCAGGAAGAGAACGAATCGCAGATCGAAACATATGATCATGCCAACCCTTTCTTTTCATCATCAGCATCCTTTGTTATCTCCACCATCCGCTGTTATCATCATCATCATCATCATCATCATCATCACCACCGCCTTTTGTTATCACGATCATCACCTTTGCTTATCACCCCGAAGAGCAATCATCAGCACTCCTACACGACGAGTAGAACACCACCAATAATCCTTGAGTTTTCGAAAAGACTTCGGTAGGTCCGAAACTTTGACTTCTGTTGAATCTCCTTTTCGTCCTCCTCCTGCCTCTCCTCGTCGTCCTCCTCATTTCTTATCCTCGCCCTACTCAGTGTCCTTCCTGTTTACCCTTTGCCTTTTCCTCCCTTTACTCCTCCTTTCACTCGTCCTCATTCTCCTCTGCAGATCAGCTTGTGCGTAATTCAAGACCCATCCAGACATCCCAACATCGATCTCTCCGGAAAACATGTATTATTTTCACAGGGCCTTGCACTTTATCATCCCCGTGGTGTGGTTATCACCGGCACTGGATTAGGGCTGGGGGTGAATGTTTATGTTGCATCTCTATAGGGGCTAGAGCGGGCACTTTCAATGCGTTTCGTCAGCGATACCATCACATGGGGCCTTGGGCAAGCATGCGCCCGTTCATCGTGGCGATAATGAGGGCACGCACGCACCAATGTGATTCGCTCGTGGGGGATCCCTAAGATTGGGCCATGGCTTAGTGCTGCTAATATCTGAGGCTATGGGCATAGGGCTGAGGGAATTGCTGCATGGCTGCGACTGGGGTGCTGGCCAAGATTGCGGCCAGGACGGATGGTTCAGGCTGTAGGGCCAGAGTTGGGCCAGAGCTCAGGAGTCGAAGTCAGAAAGTTGAAGCTAGGGCTCAGTCATGACGTCGGTGAGAAAGCGCGCACCAACTCTACACTCAAGTCAGTACGGGAGTGAACGAGTGCGTGTATGAGCGTGACTGATATTGGTTGTGCTTGCGACTGCGATTGAAATGGAGGAGGAACATGGATGGAGGGAGGGAGGGAGGGAGGGAGGGAGGAGGAGGAGGAGGAGGAGGAGGAGGGGTAGGAGGAGGAGCGGGAGGAGGACGAAGCGAAGGGAAGAGTGTCATCATCTGATGATGATGATGCTGATGGTGACGATGACGATGACGATGATGATGAGGATGAGGATGAGGATGAGGATGAGGATGAGGATGAGGATGAGGCTGATGATGATGATGATGATGATGATGATGATGATGATGATGACGATGATGATGATGATGATGATGATGATGATGATGATGATGATGATGATGATGATGCTGATGCTGATGGTGATGATGATGATGATGCTGATGCTGATGCTGATGCTGCTGCTGCTGCTGATGATGATGATGATGATGATGAGGATGATGATGATGATGATGATGATGATGATGATGATGATGATGATGATGAGATGATGATGATGATGATGATGATCATGGAGGAGGAGGAGGAGGAGGAGGAGGAGGAGGAGGAGGAGGAGCGAGGAGTATGAGCAGCAGCAGGTGGAGGGAGGAGGATGGAGAGAGGAACAGAGCGAGGAAGGAAAGCGAGAAGAAGGGAGGAGGAAGGGAGACGGCGGCAGGATGGGCGGAGGAGGAGGAGGAGGAAGAGGAGGAGGAGGAGAAGGAGGAGGAGAAGCAGGGCGCTGGAGGAGGGCGGCCCCGAGGGCCGAGGCGGAGAAGGAGGACGGGGAGGACGAGGGCGCAGCGACGTGCCCGGCCCTCTTGAGCGGGCGCTGCGCAGGAGGGCGAGCGCCTAGACTTCAAGGCGCGCCCCTCCTCCTTTCTCCTCCTTTCTCCTCCTCCTTTCTCCTCCTCCTCCTCCTCCTCCTCCTCCTACCTCCTCCTCATCCACATCCCTCCTCCCCCTCCTCCTCCGCGCCCCCCGTTCGCCCCGGATGCTCGGCGGGTTTGGCGCGGGGCAGCGGCAGCGGCGGGGGAGCAGCAGCAGCAGCAGACGCTCGGATATATATATATATATATATATATATATATATATATATATTCGGATGCAGCCCCTGGGAGGTCAGATTCGGATTTTGCCCTGGTCCGAAATCTGCTTTCATCCGGCTCAATCCCGCGTGATCCGGCTGAATCCCGCTTTATTTGGCTTAGTCCCGCTAAATTCGAGGCCCTTCCGGCGTAACAGCACCCCAATGGGGCTTAATCTTCCTCAGCCCTTCCGACGAAGACTTCCCTAATAGTTGCCTCCCAAGATATAGAAGCACAGCATCAACCTATTTTTTGCCTCGGGCGCAGAGACAAGAACTGGAAGCAAAACGCCATCAACATAAACCTTTGGCGCTCTGCGCAGGTTTCTTGGATCCGTGCTGGGCCCCCCCCCCGGCGGCGCCTACGGCGCCGCCACGGGCGCGCTCGGCGCGCCAGGGAGGAGGTTCCAGCGCAGATCCAAGAAACCCGCGCGGAGCGCCAAAAGTTTTAGTGAATGGAGTGGCTTTCTTCCTCTTCTTCCTCTTCTTCTTCTTCTTATTCTTCTTCTTCTTTTTCTTATTCTTCTAAAGGACAGCGAACACGACTCATAAAGTGACCGCCCACACAAGTCACTAGGTCCAGATTTGCAACAGCATGATATATAGCTGGGTGCTTGAGGGGTGCACTGCTCGAGGAAGAACATATACTGTAAACAACATCAGTCGGATGTCTGCGCGGATTTCTCGGATCGGCGCTGGGACCCCACTGGCGGCGCCTCAGGGCCGCCCCTGGCGCGCTCCGCGCACTGGGGCGGGCGGTCCAGCGCCGATCCAAGAGACCCGTGCGAACCTCAAATGTCGGCGGCAAGCGAGTGGGGGACGCGAGAAGAGGGAGGCCCTCTCAGAGGGCGGCGGGCCTCCTCGGAAGTCTTAAGCTGGCCTTCTGAGAAGTCTCCCGCCTCCCGGGAAGGTTCAGACAATGTCCCGAAAGTCCGGGGGGGCTTCGCGACTTATCTGATTGGGAAGGCCCGCCTCCTCCGACTTCTCTCCCCTGGGCCTGCCGCCGATCCCGGGGGAGCCAAGGGGTGCCGATGCAGATGCTCCCCGGACCTCTCCCTGGGGGCGCTCTGATCAGCTCTGCGAGGCGAATCTGACGGTGTCGACGACGGCCTCCCAGGAGGCCCAACAAGGCGAACACGAGGAAAGGATGGCTGTGTCGGTGCGTTTCCACCGGGCTCGCCGCCGAGTATCTTTTAAGATATATCTTCTAAGCAGCAGACGCAGCAGGAATGGCAGGAGCTCGCTGTTCCGGTCCGCGTGACGTAATTCCTCGGCATATGCTTTTGGGGCGAGGTAGTCAATCAGTGTCGAAACGTCCTGGCTCGCCTATAGGCCCACAAAATAATGTTCTAAGAACCGTTTGTGGTCTGCACGAAACGTTATTTGAACACTTCTGGCTGGGGCTGTCTTGTGTTTTAGCACACTGGGTCTCTTCTGCTATAAGAATATTGTTTGCGTTCTGAGAACATTGTTGGGGTTCTAAGAACATCTCGTGGTAGGCCTGTAGGAATGCCAGGACGGTCGGTCCCTGCTCAAGCCCTGTGTTTTTGGGGCGACGGAGCAGGGGGCAATGCTCGTAGGGTAAGACCAGACCTTTGCAGTCCGATCGGCGGCAAGAGCAAACCTAGGGTCAGAGCTCGCGAATGGGGGTCGTAACGATTGACATCGACCGATCAAGCACGCCAGCCGAGCATACTGGGATCTGGCCCTGAAGTAACTTCGCCCCCCCCCTCAAAGCGACATCCAAATTACGCCAGGGTGTGGTTTTCGGTCGGGGCCGTTGGGGCCTAGGGGTCGGAGAGCAACCAATGACATACACATAACTTTCGGATAGCCGCGTCTGGCCCCGCCCCTGTCGCGCTCCGCATGCCAGGGAGGGGGGCTCCACGCGGATCCGAGAAATCCGCGCGGACCTCCGAAATGGCCTGCTCGTGCCATGCTGTGCTCGCCCAGCCGGGGCCTCGGGTGTCACCACGCTGCGCCACAGCTCTGATGCGCCCTCGACGGGGCGCGGCTGGAATCTGGAGCCCTGGGCTTCTCGTTCCATTTTTTGGAGCCGCTCAAACAAGGGGAATGCAAGATGGCACCAACAGAGCAACTCGGAGGTCCGCGCGGATTTCTCGGATCGGCGCTGGGGCCCCCTGGCGGCGCCTCCAGCGCCGCCCGGGGGTCGAGTGCCGATCCGAGAAATCCGCGCGGACCTGCGAGTGTTTACGTTTATGTCATCGTTCGTTCCCCTACAGGTGCCCTCGGCTTCTCGTTCCATGTTTGGGAGTCACTGAAAAAGGTGCCCCTTGGCCCGAGGTGCCCTCGGCTTCTCGCTCCCTTTTTGGGGAGCCCCCAGGGCCCACCTGGCCTCGCGAGTGGTGCTCTCTGGAGGCCGCGGGGGGCTCCCTTGGAGAACCCTCCAGGGGGCGCCCTGGGGCCATGTGCGCCGCTAGCCGCACCCTGCCCGCAGGGATTCGGCGGAGGGCGGGTGCGGCCTGCAGGCCCTGGCTCGCCGCGCCTGCGAGCCCCTCCCTCCTCCTCCTCCTCCTCCTCCTCCTCCTCCTCCTCCTTCTCCTCCTCCTCCTCCTCCTCCTCCTCCTCCTCCACCTCCCCCCTCCTCCCCCTCCACCCCTCCTCCTCCTCCTCCTCCTCCCTCCTCCCCTCCTACTCCTCCTCCTCTTCTCCTCCTCCTCCTCCCCTCCTCCTCCCTCCACCTCCTACCTCCTCTTCCTCCACCCTCCTCTCCTCCCTCCTACCTCGTCACCTCCTCCTCCCTCCTCCTCCACCTCCTCCTCCTCCTCCGTCTCCTCTCCTCCTCCCCTTCTCCTTCTCCACCTCCTCCTCCTCCTCCCCTCCCCATCCTCCTTCTCCTCCTCCAACCTCCTCCTCCTCCGCCTCCCCTCCTCCTCCGATTCTCCGACTCCTCCTCCTCCCCTCCTCCTCCTCCTCCTCCTTTCTCCTCCTCCTTCCTCTCCTCCTCCTCCCCTTCTCTTCTCCTCCTCCTCTATCCTCCTCCTCCTCCTCCTCCTCCTCCTCCTCCTCTTGCCTCCTCCTCCTCATCCGCCTCCTCCTCCTCCTCCTCCTCCTCCTCCTCCTCCTCCTCCTCCCCTTGCCTCCTCCTCCTCCTCCTCCTCCTCCTCCTCCTCCTCCTCCTCCTCCTCGTCGGCAACGTCGTCGACGACATCCAGCTGGCCCAGACGGGCATGGCAAGGCGCGTGGCCGCGCAGGTCAGCGGCACCTATGAGCAGCTCCGCAGCGGGCTCCTGGCGGACGGCCTCGCCGTGAACGACGGCAATGGCGAGGGCCCGGCCAACTCGGCCAAGTGCAGCCGCGAGGTCCAGAGACGCTGCGCGGCGCTCCGAGGCAGGGGGCGCAGGTCTGCGAGGAACCTGGGCGTGGACTACGGCTGCGGACGGCGGCCTGGCGCGGCCACGCGGAGCAAGCGCGTGGCCACCGTGTTCAGGCGCTCGGCTCGCATCGGAGTGCTGCGCGCCGCTAGAGGCAAAACGCAGCAACTCGTCTCTCTCGGTCTCACGCCCGCTGGTACCTGGGGGGGCGGGGTGACTGGGAGGGCGTGGAGTGGGATCGAGCCGGTGCGCCGAGCTGCGCATGCCGCCCTCTTCGTTCGGACCGCTCGTCGCTCCCTCACCCTCGACCTCCACCTCACTCCCTCGGCGCCGAGGTCGGTCGACCCTGCGTACGCTTGCACTGTGAGTCCGATCCACTTGCTCGCCCAGGCCGTCTGGGAGTCATGGCTGCCTCGGGAATGGATTGCCCGAGTTTTGTCTGCCCCCGAGACCACTTTGGCTCGGCCCACCGGTGTAAAAAGTGAGTGGGCCCTTGTGCGCGGCCCGATTTCGGCGGCCCTGGCTTGCTATAGATGCATCGGCTGGAAGCTGGGCCCTGGGGTCTGCACGTTAGAGACCAGCGAGGGCTTCAGGGTTGATCTCACCGCGGCTTGCCCGAGATCTGTCTTGCACCTCGCGTGTTTGAGCACCGAGAATTGGCTGCTGGATCAAGCCCAGCAGAGTTCCGAGTACATGTCTGGTCTCCCCGCCCGCCCCTACCTGGCCCCCCTCCGCCGCCTCTGCATCGGTAGGACGGGCCCCGACTGGACGGCTCGGCACCAGGCGACTCTGCGTGCGATCGTCTGGAATGGTATTTGGGATCAGGCCCGCAAGTTTCGCCCCGACCACTCGTGCAGTCGCGCGTGCCCGTTGCATAGCATCGAATCCTGCCCAGGGACCTTCGAGGCCTGGGCGACCTCCTCCTCCTCCTCCTCCTCCTCCTCCTCCCTCCTCTCCACCTCCTCCTCCTCCCTCCTCCTCCTCCTCTCCTCCTCCCTTCCTCTCCTCCTCCTCTCTCCCTCCTCCTCCTCCCTCCTCCTCCTCTCTCCTCCTCCTCCTCCTCCTCCTCCTCCTCCTCTTCTCCTCATCTTCTCCTCCTCCTCCTCTTCCCCTTCCTCATCCACCTCCCTCATCCTCCTCGTCCTCTTCCTCTCTCCTCCTCCTCCCCTCCTCCTTCTCCTCCTCTCTCCCTCCTCCCTCCTCCTCCCTCCTCCCTCCTCCTCCCCCTTTTCCTCCTCCTTCCCCTCCTCTCCCTCCTCATCCACCTCCCTCCTCCTCCTCGTCCTCCTCCTCCTCCTCCTCCGCCTCCGTGCTCCTCCTCGTCCCTCCTCCTCCCCCTTCTCCTCCTCCTCCTCCTCCTCCTCCTCCTCCTCGTCCTCCTCTTCTTCCTCCCTCCTCATCCACCACCTCCCTCCTCCTCTCGTCGTCCTCCTCCCTCCTCCTCCTCCTCCTCCTCCTCCTCCTCCTCCTCCTCCTCCTCCTCCCCTCCTCCCCCTCCTCTCCTCCTCCGCCTCCGTCCTCCTCCTCCTCCTCCTTCTCCTCCTCCCTCCTTCCTCCTCCTCCTCCTCCTCCTCCTCTTCCTCTTAATCCTTCCTCCTCTTGATCCTTCCCCTCCCTCGCCGCCTCGCGGGGGGGGCGGGCGGCTGCGGCGGACAGCGCGGCATCGGGAGCCGGAGCGGGCAACAGAGGCTCAGAGTGGTTACGCATCGGTCGTACAGAGTAAGTAATTTCGGAGTCCCAGGTTTCAATCTTCTTCAGGCGCCTTCCTACTTCAGTGATCGAGTGGCTTCACCTTTTCCGTTCTCCTTAGGGGGCGGGCGGAAGCACATTCTATTTCCAACGCCTTCATACTCCATGTTTCTACCTACTTCTTCTGACCGATGGGTAAAGGTGCCCCTGGCCCAATTTGGGCCAGTGGCCAGGGTCACCTTTGCGGGTGCTCCCCGTGAAGGTGTCCCCCCGTGAAGGTGCCCCCCCCGTGAAGGTGCCTCCCGTGAAGGTGCCCCCTTGTGAAGGTGCCCCCCCGTGAAGGTGCCCCCCTTGTACGTAGCTGTCCCCCCCGTGAAGGTGCCCCCCGTGAAGATGCCCCCCGTGAAGGTGCCGCCTGGGTGGTGCCCCTTGGGTTGGTAAAGGTGCCCCTGGTCCGAGGTGCCCCAAGCTCTTCGCCGCTCGATGTTGGAACCCCTGGGCCTCGCAGGGCGTGCTCTGGAAGCAGCGGGGGGCCTCCCTGGGCAAGGGGGGACTTCTGGCAGCACCCGAGCATTTCCCGGGAGACGCCCGCGGGGCAGCGAGAGATCGGAGGCTCTGAAACAGCTGGAGCGCCCAGGTGTTTGGCCGAGGTCGGCCTCCTTTGGGCCCTCGCTGGGCCCTGGGGCCGTCCAAGAACGGCTCGGGCCGGAAAACGGGCCCCGGAGAAGTGGGCAGGCCTTTCACCACCCACCAAACCACCCCAACCCAACCCGAAGGCTCAAATTTACCCTCGATTTCCAGTGGGGGGGGGTCGGGAAACATCGAAAAATCACGTGTGGAACCCTTACCCCCCCCCCAACCCGAAATTCGGGTCTTCGGGTTGGGTTGGGGTGGTCTGGTAGGTAGTCAGCCTTCCGGGGGCTCACACATCGAAACAGTCAGAGCGGCCAGGTGTCCGGGGAGGCACGGCCAGGAGGGGCGAGGTGCTCAGCAGGGGCGCAGGGGGCGGGGTGGGGACGACGGACGCGGGAGGACGATGGTGGACGGAGGAGAGGACGAACGGCAGAGGAGGACGGAGCAGCAGCAGCAGCAGCAGCAGCAGCAGCAGGAGGAGGATGCGGAGGAGGAGGAGGACTACGCTGGCGACGACGGCGGCGACCACGGCGGAGACGGCGGCGGCGACGACGGCGGCGACGACGACGATGGCGGCTACGGCGGCAACGGCGGCGGCGACGACGACGGAGCGGGGGCGCGCAGCGTGAGCGGTTGCCAACGCTGCCCCCCCCCCCCCCGGGGGAGGCTGGCGGCCTCAGCGTCGGCACTTTCCACTGTACGGGCCTGCCGAGGACGTCCGCGAAGCTGCTGGCACGCCCCCCACCCCCGCTTGGCGTGGATGGCGGGATGTTTCCTCCTCCTCCTCCTCCTCCTCCTCCTCCTCCTCCTCCTCCTCCTCTTGTGTTGTTGGTGTTGTTGGTGGTGTTGGCGGTCTTGTTGGTATTGGTGTTGTTGTTGGTGTCGTTGTTGGTGTTGGTGTTGGTGTTGCTGTTGGTGTCGTTGTTGGTGTTGGTGTTGTTGCTGAGGTTGTTGATGTAGTCGTTGTCGTTGTCGTTGTCGTTGTTGTGTTCGTTGTCGTCGTCGTCGTTGTTGTTGCTGCTGTTGTTGCTGCTGTTGTTGCCAGTGCTATTATTGTTGTTGCTGTTGTTGAATTCTCATTTCTAAATAATAGTTATTATTGGCTCACGCCGCACCGCCGACCCCTTGGGGCGGCAGCAAGAGTGAACGACAGAATTCGCGGAACGCGCGCGGTCGATGGACAATCTTGGGGTTTCGGCTTGTCCTACGTAGCGTGTGGGGTTCAAGGGGAGGCCTCGTAGGGGATTGTTTTGAAGTTTTTCGTGGTCTCATGTGAGTTTCATAGGGCCTTCACGGGGCCTGTCCCAGGCCTCCTTTTCCACCTCCTGGATAGGCTCGGGGATCGTTGAGACCCAGCTGGGGTTGCGTCCAGCCAGAAGTTCGAGAGTGGACCCAGCTGTGTCGACGAGGAGCTTCCTGAAGGCCCAGATGGGGGCGGAGAGCGCCCAAGAACTAGGAGTCTCATGCCTCGAGCCTCGATCCAACCCGTGTTCCTTCCTTTGCGAAGGGGTGGCACCGGTCAGGGAGGTCGATCCTAATCCCGGACTTTCGGCGGTGGCCCCCGGCACCGAAAACGGTCCTTGGAGGCTGATTCGAGGAGATGCCTCGGGTGGTCGAAAGACCACGAACATCTGTAAGACACCGGCGGCGACGACGAAATCTTCTTTCTTTTGTTCCTCTTCCTCCTCCTCTTCCTCCTCCTCGTCCTTCTCCTCTTCTTCTTTTCGATCGAGGTAGATGCCCGCGGCAGTTCATATGTCTATGTATATGTATATGTAGATGTAGATGTATATGTATATGTATATGTATATGTTTATGTATATGTATATGTATATGTATATGTATATGTATATGTATGTGTATGTGCATATGTATGTGTATATGTATATGTATAGTGGCCTTCGGCCCATTCCGCCACCGCGCCTTGGTTGTCGGCCTGAGATCCTTGGTGCCTGGGTTGCGGGTTCGAAATTGCATGCCTCAAGTGGTACTCGGGGCTTCTTTTGAGCTTCTTGGGGGCCTCTTGGGGGGCCTCTTGGGGGCCCTCTTGGGGGCTTCTTGTGGGGCCTCTTGGGGGCCTCATGGGGCCATGTTGGGCGCCTCTTGGGCCCCCCTGGGGCCGTTTCGGGGTGGAAGGTTCGGATTGTTGGTTCAGGCTCCCCCTCTTGGGCCCCTCCTTGGGCCGTCTTGGGGCACTCTTGGGCCGTCTTGTGAGCCTCTTCGGCCGCCGGTCTTAGCGCCCTCTTGGGCCGTTTTGAGCGCCTCTTGGGAGCCTCTTAGGCCGTTTTGGGGCGGTCTTGGGGGACTCTGGGGCCGTCTTCAACGCCGTGAAGGCCGAAAAGTCGTGTATGATGAAAATGTGTGTTTCGCCATCGGATTTCGCCTATTTTGGCCTCTGGGGCCCCTCTTGGGAATGCTCTTGGAGGCTTCTGGTCCGTCTGGGAGGCTTCCGGGGCCGTCTTGGGGCCATCCTGGGCGTCTAGGGCCGACTTGTGGGCTTCTCGGGGGCCTCTTGAGCCGTCGTCGGGGCGGCTTGGAGCCCTCTGGGGCCTCGTGGGGCCTGATGACACCTTTGCCCCCCGTCCCCCACCCCCCACCCCTCCAAACCGGCCGGACCGGGCTCCCGGGGGAGAGGTTTGGCGAGGGGGGAGATATCACACGCCGTGACCCCAATGGTTCGGCGGATTGATCCACCCCTCCGGTAACCGTTGTGTTTTTAACGGAAGTGCTTCTGCATGACTCACCGCACCGATCCGTTTGTCGCCGCCACAATTTGGCGCGAGGCCCATGCTTTCTGGGTGAGCCGGCGCTGTGCTTGGCCAAATGTATTCGTCTTCTCCGACATTGGTTCCAATTGTTTTGAGGTTGTTGCTGTACGTTGGTGGAGGCCTCTGTCAGGGTCAGGAGGGGGAGAACGAGGAGGCGGAGGAGGAGGGCGAAGAGGCGGAGGAAGAGGGGGAGGAGGAAAAGGAGGAGGATGGGGAGGCGGAGGAGGGGGAGGAGGAGGAGGAGGAGGAAAAGGAGGAGGAGGAGGAGGGGAAGGAGGAGGAGAGGGAGAGGGGGGTGGAGGAGGAGAAGGGGGCGAGGGAGGAGGAGGATGTGTCAGAGACGCGTCGGCCCCAGCCGTCCGGCTCGTCCACTCGTCGGCCGCCGCGTGGATGTCGGATGTCAGCGACGATAGACGCAATTGCAGCACCTGCTCGAAGGGCGGCATCCTCGGCTCGCGCCGGCGAGGGCCCCCTCTCGTAGCGAGGGCTCCCGCTCGCTCCCGATCACCGCCCCGCCCCCGCCGACCTGGATTCGGGGGAAAACAAACCTACCTCGCTTTTGACCACCCTCGCTTCCAAGAGATACCAAACGATGCCAAATTGCAGCCTGTACTGGTCAGGCCGCTTGACGAGGAGGCGCGTGGTATGGCTTGGTTTTGCCTGGAAGCGAAAGCGGGGTAGGTAATTCACGATCTGATGGATATCGGGGACCTCGACAGTGTGCCTCCACCGGGCGAAGATGATCCCGATCTCGACGATGGTGGAAATAATCTGGGTTTCCTGGGTGGCCGAAGGACTACAACCAACACCAAAATCAAGGGTCTGGGATCATCCCCCCGAGTGGACGCACGTAAGCCCTCAGCTGCAGACTTCGGCCTTTCTTCAAGCCGTCCTTCTGGTCGTCCTCCGCGGCCGTACCGGTGTCCAGAGAGGGGGCCTGCATGGCATCCTCACCGCGGAGGTCGCCCGACCAAGAAGGATGACGAGTGCGACGAGAGATGCAGCAGAAGGAGCAGGAATCGAGGGACAAACAATTGTATAAATATGAGCTGTCGGAACTAGGCGCGGATTTCTCGGATTGGCTCTGGAATCTTTCGGCGGTGCCTCAGGCCCCGCCCCTGGCGCGCTTAGCACGCCAGGGAGGGGGTTTCAGCGCAGATGCAATGAAGCCGCGCGGATCTCCAACATTTTATGTTCATACAGTTTTTGTTTCTACGGAAGGCGAAACAGCAAACAGCATCACGTAGCAGGAAGGCGCGGATCAGCAGCAGCACAACGAGTAGGAGAGGCGATCGGCCCTTTTTGGGGCAAGGACGCCAAACCGAAACGAGCAGTCAGAACGCAACAAAAATAGTTGCCGAAGCGAGAGCTTCTCGAAGCGAGAGTGTACACAGCAAGACGTGGACCGTCGCGAGGAGGAGTAGGGAGAGGACCAGGACGATGAGGAATACATGTGAGGATGAAGAGATATGAAGCGTAAGGAAACAGAGCATGTTGGGCAAAACATCGTGCATATCGCTTTTCCCGTTTTCTGAGATGAGGAGAAGGAGGAGCTCAGCGGAAGGCGGAACATTGAGGACCAGGGGACAAGAGGTTGGAAACAAATTGGGGATGATGTTGAGGAGCAAGAAGAGGTTGATAAGGGAGAGGGCGATGAGGATGTGGAATTGAGGTCAGAAAGAGGATAGGAAGGTGGAGGACCTAGAAGAGAAGCGGGGAGGAGGCTGAGGAGGAGGAGGAGGAGGAGGACGACGACGCTGACGTCGACAACCAGACGGTCGTTGGCCGCGGAGCGCGCCTACGCCAGTTGGTCCCGCACCGCCACAGCATCAGCGCCCTGGCGGCGTCCTTCGCCTCGCACGCCTACTCGGAGGGGGCGCGGGGGATAACGACGACAACGACGACGACAGCGGCGGCGGTGACGAGCGACGGCGACGGCTACGACGACAACGGCGCGGCGACGGCGCTGACTGGCGACGGCGCTGACGAGCGACGGCGACGCTGGCGGCGGCCGCGGCGACGACGAGATTGGTTGCTGTGCCGTATCGGAGGCGTGTCCCATTACGTAGGCCGGGTACGAGCACATGGAATTTGTACACGTTTGCGCGCATCACCCCGATCGCCCCTACAGTGAACCCGCATAGGAAGGATGAGCGACTTTCCGACGTTGCCACCAGAGGAGAAAGAACCACTACCACCAGCTAGGGGGTCGGACCGGTTCCCCTCCCCGAGCTGGTGGTACCCGGCTTCGGGCGCCCCGTTCTGGGCATTTCGTTCCGGGCGACCCGTTCCGGGCACTCTCTGGGGGCGCCTGGAATGGGGTGCCACCAGTTCGGGGGGCTGGCCTCTGGGAACGGAGTTCTGTGGAGTTTTGGTGGCAGTGTTTTTTTTGCTGTCATGAGGGTACCCTTGCATCCTGCCCCTTCGGCCCATCCTTTGTCACTTTCGCTGGCCGCGCCCCGATCACAAAGTGTCGGCATTGCCTTCCAAGTCCTCTGCATGCTCACGTGCGTCCTCATCATACGGGTTGACTGTACCATGTCGTCTGCGGAGGCGGTGGAGCGTCCCACAGCAGCTACCACATCGCAGTCAGAGGCCATGTTTGGTCTTCGCAAGGCGATTGAAGGCTTCGATTGGTGAGCCCCCCGCTGCCAGGGTTACGACCTTTGAATCCTTGGATGCAAAGCGACCGTGGGTGTCCTTGCCCAAAATTCACGCCCTGCTCACTGATGATCTCTACCATCAATATCTCGATCGGTTTGTTTGCGAGGAGCTGCAAGACGTCCAGTCCGATCGTACTGCTCAGATTTGTGCCAGAGGACTTTCGGCCCATCCCGGTAGCAGGGGTTGAACCTCAGCGACCCGCGCGGCGGAGACCAGGCAGATGGTGATCCAGGTTTTTATTCGATGTTACTTAACGGGAGTTGTCCTTGAGAAGCGGTGCTACGCTGTCTCGCCGAAGTGCCAGCACTGTGGCGACCCTGACACGGTGTTGTCTTTTTGGGGAAGCTCGTCGCCAAGAGCCAGAAGAGGAGTTGGTCAGGGCGGCCTTCGAGACAGGCCTCTCGCACCCCTTCTTCGGGCGTGTGTGCCTCCCCATGCCCAAACTTGACAGAACAAAACTGCCAGCCCCGAAGAAATCGAGTGCTTTGACAGTGGTGAGGAAACTGCCCAGTTTGTTTGGGACAGCCTTGGGTTCAAATTTCCGTTGCCTCTCTGTCTAGAGGTGGCCGGCGTGCTACTGGGGTCATTTACCACGGAGGTCTCAAAAGTGCGGTCCGTGGTGTTTTGTTGGATGTTGCCCCCCAGCAATGCCGACATGTCTGTGCGCCATGGGCTCATCTCTAAAGAATGCTGAAGGGTGTTTAGCCAAATGGTCGGGAGAAAATCGGGGGGCCCAGCAGTATGATTATCTTCGCATTTTTTTTGCACGAGTTCTCATAGGTTGCTCGATCGCACCGCCACTGCTCGGGACACTGCACGATGCTCCCGCAGCCGCCGTAGGGAATGCAAGCAACCGCGTTGGATCAACGATTTGCCAACTCGCACGGATGGAACGCACGCGCCCGCATGAAGCAAGGCACGAACAGGTATTCCGCGTGCCGATCGACACGCCGGCGCACCTGCAAGCGTGCTCCTTGGGGAATCTGGCGGCCGGCAAAGCTGCAACGCTGGGCCAGCCAAACATGAGGGCGTGAATTACCTACCCCGCTTTCGCTTCCAGGCAAAACCAAGTCATACCACGCGCCTCCTCGTCGAGCGGCCCGACCAGTACAGGCCGTAGTTTGGCATCGTTTGGTATCTCTTGGAAGCGAGGGTGGTCAAAAGCGAGGTAGGTTTGTTTTCCCCCTAAAACAGTTGCAACCTCGAGAGGCGACCCGCCAAACCATTGCCCGCAGACGATTGCGCCATCGGTTGGCTTTTTCGCAGCATGGCGGCCCCGATTGGCGCAACCGTTTTTGATTCGATAATGACGTGCCACCTTTTACTGGGCAGACGATAGCGCTGTAACGAAACAAGCAGCCAACTAATGAATTGCAGCCGCTTGCGCCACAAACCACTGTAGTGGAATCATTCTGGCCACAAGCGATTGCAATGCAATCTTTTGTGACCTCTCCTTTCAGACAGACCTTGTTTTCGACTCAGTCCAGCCCTGGGAGCGTCCTAGCTCCAACTTTGCTTGTGCACTCCATTCTCTCTAAAAGCCTTTTCTCCTCCCTTGTTAGACGAAATCCGCAGTTGCGGTTCATGATTCAGGTGCCCCCAGGCGTTTCTCTTACGGGTGTCTCGACCCTTTTGCTAAAAATCATTCCGCGCAGTTGAATTCATCCATTGTTGTTCCCACTTGCAGTAGCCTTGAGTCGGGCATGTCCCTCTACAGGGCGGATCTTGAAACATTGTTGTGTGCAGATTTTTAATGCTATGTTCAAAATACCCCAAGAATAGTCTGGACATAGTTTTCTGAAGACTGGCTCGGCGAACGCACGATGCACCGGTCGGAAAACACGATGCGCCGCGCGGCGCCATTATTATTTGTTTCGCCACGCTTGGTGGCGGCAGCGCGCGATACCGAGTTTTAGCAAGAAGGCGCGCGTTTATTGCGACGTGGTTCGTGCACCGTGCACAATGAGGGTCGACCGCGCGCTACCATCGTGGACTTGGTGGCGCGTCGCTTCGATTTGATATTGCGCGCGGCGTGGGCAATCCGACGAGCACCCTTTGGACAGCCGACTGTGTCCCTGCAGATTTGGACCCCTGCTTCTCTTTCCAGTTTGTTACGCGCGTCCAAAAAATGCACCCGATCAGTCATTGGTGGCCGCTGGCAGTCAAGTTCTCGCTGCAAGACCCCAGTCTTCCCCCCTCTTTACTCCCTCGCTCCTGCGCGCCATCATTGTGCATCCTCCCCGCCCTACTCCCTCTCAAGAAGGGTGGCGCGCATAGACCGGCGCTTCCCGCGTTCGGCCAGTCGGTTCTTCTCAGCACTCTCGCGGAGTATGTTGCGCGAGGGACAATCGTGACCGGACAAGGCATAACCCCGTTGATGTCATCATCGAGGGGGTATGAGTGGAGTAGGAGTTCAGATGGACCACGGTAGGAGTGGACTGGGTTGTCCGTGAGTCAGGTTGACTGCAATTGGGCGCAGAGTTGGTCAGAGCCGGGTCCGAAAAGGGCAGAATTGGAGTCGGCGTAGAAATTTTCATATAGATATAGACAAGCGCCAGTTCTTATATAAACGAGAGGAGATTTGCAGGTGCCGTTGTGGTGGGGTAGAGTAGATGAGGGTACAGTTCGGCGCGTGCTGGGGCGATGTATGATTAAGGCTACGTGTGCATATTTGCATATAATCTTGCAAGCGCAGCGAACAGAAACTTTAACCGTTGGATCCGTAAGGCGGTCGCGCGAATCGCACGGAGCCGAGTCTAGGGCGCGTTCGACCATGGCAGAGCAATATGCCTATTTGCGTACGCGCGCGCCTATATACATATACTCGCGTGCGCCGATCGGCGGGCTCAGCGCGCGCGTTGTAAAGCAGGACCGGGAGCCTGCGGCGCTCCAATCGTCGCTGGCGCCGTCGGGGCATCCAGAGTACAGACAGGCGTCGTCGCCAGCGCAGCAGTAGTACCTCGGATGCCCGGAGCGAGTGTCCGATGTGCCCCGCGAGTTAACAACATACTCAAACGCAGGATGTCGCGCTTGCCGACCGCGCAACATATTCCGCCAGGGGATCGCAAGCGCAATTCGCGCGCGCAACACCCCAACAATACATCCCGCAGGTTTCACATACTCACAAAAGACACCCCGTAGGTTTGCAATATTTATACACAAATCAAAACTTACGCCAGCAGGTTTCGCGCTCTCAAGAAATATTCAAAACAACTCCAACCTTACCCAAGAATGCTCCAAATATACCCCGTGCCATTTGCGACATCTCAGAATTCTCCAAGGATGCCCCAGTGCCACCTGCGACATTTCAGAATACTCCAAAGATGCTCCAGTGCCGCGTGCGAATTTCAAAATACTCCAAGGAAAGCCCAGTGCAATTTGCGACTTTTTGAAATACCCCAAAAACACGCCAGTGCAATTCGCGAATTTTGAGAATGCTTCCAAGAAATTCCCCTGTCATTTACGAAATTTCCGAACGCTCCAGATTTGGCCCCGTGGCGCCCTCTGAGATTTCAAAATACCGCGGGAGACGCTCGCCGACCATTCGCGAGACATCAAGTCACCCCAGGACTCAGCGCGATACCATCTCCGACAGTTCCAAGTCTTCCAGAAAATGCCCTTGCGTATTTCCCTGAAAGCACTGCCTTGCAGTGGGTGCCGTGGCCTTTCCTCGAGAACGCGAAAATCTCGCGGCCGCGTCCCCCCCTCTCCCCCCCTTTCGGCCGAAATCGCGCCGCTGCGGCACGTGATGCAGCGGGTTCGCTAGCGGTTCAGATGCCCAGCGTCGGGGTAGCCAAACGCGCGACGCGCCCTGTTGATGCGGTGCCCTCTTGGGCTGAACAGCGCGCCGCTGCGTTGCCGAGCGCATATCGTTCCGCGCCACAGCCAGGAAACGTCGCGGCCTCATTGTACCCGTGTCTTACGCCTCCCAGACACGTGACGGATCCAAGTCGGAGCTGTTGCACGACCTCCCCGCCACCGCCAGCCTGGGCAGCCCTCGCGCCCGACGCCCGCCTCGGCGCCCCGGCCGTCTGTGGTTCGGCCACGGGCGGCTCCGCGTGCGTGCCGCGCCGTCCTCGCCGCCGCTGCCCCGGCGCCTCCCGCGGGCACCTGCCCGACGCCGCCGGCCTCGATCACGGCGATCTCCTCGGCGGCCTCGCCCCCGGTCGCAGGCTTGGAGGTTGACGCCAACACCAATATCAGGCG